GAGTAGAAACTGGGATCTCCAAACTTATCGATTGAAAAAACTTGTATTCAGTTTATTTAAGTCAAAAGCTCCAAACACAGGATGCATCACTCGCTGCTGATGATTAGTAGACAATCTACCACCTAATAGCGAGCATCTGGAGTGAGTGAACCACAGCCAAAAAAAACCGAATTAATATCTAGACAATTCCAAGCCCAATAAAAAAGCTGAAACATCCTACCAAAACAACACCCCTTCCATCATACTTGAAAGTCCGAAACGCGTAGGAAAAAAAAAAAAAAAATGCAGCTCTGGGCTCGCCAGTGGTGGTAATGCGTGAAAAACAGTCCAACAGGCATAATTCCAGTGGAGCTGGGGCAAACGAGGCGTAGAGAAAGGTGTTAACGATGCAGAAGGCGTGCCACGGCAACAAAATTTGATACCTCGTGAGAGGCGCGCCACGGAGATTTAGCTACAGAGTTTCCTGGTGCGTTGCGCAGGGCTCGTTTACCAGAGACAGTTGCGCGTAATCGTTTTACAACGAGCACGGCTATGACGTGGCTGTGTATGTGGATGTGTTGCACGGGATAAGGAGAATAGAGGGGGAGGACGGTGGCTGAGTTGGATGCGAAAGGTGCTGAAGGCGAGGGAGGTAGGAGGACAGTTGAGGTGATAGTGAATTATGGGCCCCTCTCTGCGAGACCTTCTTACTGCTGCTGCTTCCGTAGGGCTTCGCGTGCCATTGCTGTTGTTGTAACTCTCTGGCTCTCTTTTTCGTGCGTTTACTTTCGCACTCGGGAGGAACAAGGATTTGTGATTGATTGTGTGGGTCTGCATTTTTTTTATTTACAAAAAAGGGTCTTACCTGTTTAGATGCTTTATACTTTAGTGGGCAAATTCTCATATTATATTGGACTTGCAAGTTTCATGCATGATAATGTATTTTTTTTTTAATATTAGGGGCTGCAAATTTTACTGCTACAACCAGACTCGAGTTTGGAAAATTTTTTTTAAGTACTGTGCGTTGCAAAATTATCTGCAAATGTGTAGCACTATTTGGGCTGTGTATTTTTTCAATTACTGTTTCAAAAAAAATTTTTTTGTACCAAAAACTATAAATTATATTTTAGAAGATAAAACCACAAAGAAAAAGGGTTGCACCACTTTTTTACAGACTCTTAATAAACATTACTCTCTTAAAATATATTATCCCATGTTTTGCTTCAAAAATGTTTTTTCACTATTGAATTGTTTAATAAAACAATTAAATTTAGTAGACATAATGTACTACATTTTAAGAATTAATGTTATTTCAACTAGCTCGAAAATACCTCCAATAATTGCGCCAAAGTTTGGTTGCAGCCAACACTGTCTTGTTCCTTTGCTCGTTATTATGACGGCGGCTTCTGACTTTTTTCTTCTTCAAGCAGAAAAGTAATTCCATTTGCTGCAACTGCTGCTTGTCTATGTACGTGCATGGCATACATTTTTGCTGCAAAACTTTCTTGAAGAAATTTTCGTCGATTATCAAGAGCAAAAAATGCCCTAGAGTAAAAATACTTGGGTAAAAAGCTACTATTAACAGAAGCGAAAGATAATTTACAGGAATATCCGGGACTAGATGTTCTTGTTCTGGATCTAAAGTATCTTTTAGAGATTCCTTTAATCTTTTTTTTTATTTGCAATAAAGTATGAAGTTAGAATTATTGGATATTTAGTTATAGTTTAATTAATTACATTTTTAGTCATGTAAGCTGCAACTAGAAATTTGCACACCTAAAATATTGATTGTTTTGTGATTTCATCTTGGTTATAAGGGAATTTTATACTTATAAGTCGAGAGATGTAAGTTTTTATTTTTTTAATTTTTCGATATTGCTAAGAAAGTAAAGATTTTGTAATAATTTTACTACAGTTTTCTGGATAAACGACTGCATATCACCATATAACGTTCTCTGCTCTACAAAGAATAAGTGGTTAAATAATCGAGTTTATTTTTATTTTTTTTTTCTATTGTTATCTACTACATACTTCAGTTATTGACGAAAATTGATGTTTTGGATACTTTAATTTGTATTTTTTCTAATTATTATGGCTTGGTGTAGTATGGTTAATCAAAAACTAAGTTCAAACAAGATGTATCATTAAAATTGATCTTCTGCATACAAAGAAGTAAAAAACTTAAAACCCATTTTGGATAGTTATTTGATTAAATATACTAAGTATTCTGTAGGTTTGTATGAAATACATCCAAACACTATCACACAACATAAAAAAAATCATTTCCAGCATAAACTATATTCTTACGAGTAAAGTTATTCAATCAAATAAAAAAATTTATTCTAATGCACATAAAATACAATAGACCGAGCCCGAAAGATTGCACTATCTTGTAAATATCTCAAAAAACGCTCTATTTAACGATAAGTCCTACCACACTGCAACACAAACTAGTATCAAGAAGCATTTTTATGTTAAATATCCAAGCATCACTCTAGTACGCAACGTATTAGCAACATATCAGTTATTATAGATGCATGAATTTACAAAGATATCTTTACATTTAAGATTAACTCCGTTAATTACCTCATATATAATATGGGCAACATAAAATTAAGCTTAGGATTTATTATTTTTCCCATTAACTCTTATCCTCTATGAAGCATATACATAAATTCACAACACAAAAATATGAATCTATAAATTTCAAAGTAATAACAAAAAACCCTTAATCCAAACTTATTCCACGGACAATAACCTATAAGCACAACGTCTTACCTCCTTTAATGCTGAGTTGAGCCTTAAAGCCGTGGAAAGAAAAAAGATAAATGTACTGGCCCACATTGCACTACATCCTACTTCGTTGTAAGACGTGAAGGTGACCGGTAAAGTTATATAGCGTAAAAATTCGTAAGTATAGTTTTTTTGTTTACAACTCTTTGTATCCAACTTATCTGAGCTCAGATGAAGTAAAAAGTGTATAATTACGTCACTTACGAACTACGTGCATGAAGCTTAAGGAAAATTTAGGACGATGATATTAGGTCTTTCATCCTGGAACCCTCGGAATAACTAATTAGTTGGAATTCTGGCATTTTTTATATTGCACATTATTACGATGGAACGTAGTTGGAAATTGTTTTACTTGGATTATTATAAATTCGCTTGGAACTTCCAGGTTTAAAATAATTTGAGCTACACTTTGTGAAATATTATCAAATTTGTAATTATGTACGGTTGATATGAAAAAAAATTTTTGTTTACTTCAGCTGCTCAAAATAACTGTTAAATAGAAATTTTTCAGTTTAGAAAGTCATCTTGATTAACCACTACATAGGTTTGATATATTTTACGTGTACTTTTGATGAAATTAAAAAAAAAAAAAAACAATGATACACAGTAGCATAAATGTTAATCCTATCTTTAATAGTTCAACATAATACTAGGTAACGTTTCTATGGAGGGTCAGGGAGGTTGACAACACCTCATCTAATTACACGTAATGATTGCTCATGAGGCTGAATATTTCAGTGGAACTAGCAACGCTTTTTGAATAGTTACATAAACAAAGTACCATAAACACAAAGCCACTTGTAATCACTTTGATAAAATATTGAATACCATGTTGAGCGTTGTAAAAGTAGATTAAACGTAAAAATCCCAACATCAAACACCATAACAAGATCATGAGAGCCAAATTTCTGAAATAGCTTTGGAACTTTGTTTTCTCTGAAAACGTACGTACATCAGAGACTTACTTTCACTTCCAATGCACACAGGTCGTAACTTCGTAGAGGCGTACTTTCGTCACTCCAGAATCCGGGTCCTATTTCCCTCTCTCCAGAAATCCCCATCAGTCTCCTTAACTCATATTTCTCCCTCTCTCTGTACACTTCCATCACATTCATTTGCACCTTTGAACTTTTCATCGCACTTCCTGCCGAGTATTGCTCTGTATGTATATTTCTCTATGAAAGTTAAAGCGTCGCACGGGTAAGTACTTTGTACTGCAACTGCGAACTGTGCATTTATGACTTGAATCTCCCAAGCTATGTGCCATCCCTAATAGCTCATCTCTTGCAGCCAAGTGCCTCACTCGCGAAGTTTAATTCATTACAGTGCCCTACGAGCATCCTATGGACTCTCTTTTGCCTTCTCTAGTGCCACGTGAACAGAGTTGTCTTCCGTCTAGCTTTCTCCTATTTCCTCGTCTTTTGCTTCCTACGTATATATGTATACCTGTACCTGCAAAGCTGCGAGTCCTGCCGTTACTCCCATAACTGCTATTACGCAGAGGGAGCTTTTCTGTCCGCACCAATGATTACACCCTCGGACGAGGGAGCCCAGGTTAATTAGCATTGATGGCTTAATTATGGACGAGGGCTTCGACCGTCCGTCCTTTGTCCAAGTCAAGAACAACTAAAACGGGCATGAGTGAAGAGTAGAAGGTCTCAATTGACGGCTGTTGTTGGTTTTCTCGCTTCTTATTGTCGTCAGACAGCCGCGGGAGAGGCCTTTGACGGTGAACACAACTCTGTTTGAGATGCACGAGGTGAACCACCCGTAACACTCCGGAGCAATTTGTTGCCTTCAATTGCGCTTTTGTGCCGAAGATACAATTACTTTGAACAATTGCGAATGCGACGGTGGACGCGTGGGTGATATTAAGTTCGCGGGGATTTGATTTCTGTTTGCCATTGTGTTCGACCTTTGTTTGATATGGCATTGTCGGTGTAAGCGAGGGAAAAATGGTTCAAAAGTTTTATCTGATCAATGATTTACATTTCACGATAAGGACAATTTATAGCGCAAAATAAAACGTTTTGATGGATTTTTTGACAGGACTTTATTGTATCTTATGGTCTGTGTCTCTGTAAGTTTGACAAAGTTAACGGAACTATCGTAAAATAAGGCCATTTAATGACATCTAAAGTAAAATTTATTATTCTTCTTTTGTTACAATCTTATTTAAAATAGTCCTTACATAATGTTGCACTAAGGAATTATTTTTTATGTTTCAGGTGAACTCGAGAGATTACGTGATGTACAACTTTTGTAAGTAATTAAATAAAGTTAATGTTGCTATAAAATATACATATATATATANCATAGATATATATATATATATATATATATATATATATACACATACAACTACATACTCTCCTATGAAATATTTTCGTGCATGTGTATTTAAGAAAGTAATATACGAGTGCTATGCTAATTCAGAACTTCAATAATAAATAAGGAATGACCGAGACGACCGAAAACTGATCCTTGCCATGTGAGGCCCAGATTCTGACATTCCTGTAGTAAAGACCGTCAGGATACAAACTGTGCTTTAGACGCCCCTGAAGTAGGTTTTAAATATTTTTAAAAACTCCGATGTGAGCCATCAGCCTTGCCAAAAATAAACGCTATGTATTCTACCAATACAGTGTGCTACTGACGATTTTAAAGCGATTCATTTTAAAACAGTAGAAAAAAAATTCCGGTTTTTTTCCAATACCTCTGTTTTCTACTATTTTCTATTTACTCTGTTGTATCCAATGTCTGTTTTTAGTGCAACATTCATTTAATACTTTACGCTGGTCAACTCAAATCGGAAACAGGGAAACTGCATTTCCTGGTTTAGTATATGTTCCTCCCGATTCGATAATCGGTCATCGAACTTTAAAGGTATAGCGAATGGTTGCCCGTGGGTGAGGGAATAGGGGAGGAGCCGTTAGCGGAAAATTTGCGGTTTTGGCTCGTGCATAAGTAAAGGAACGAATGCGAAACTCCATGCAGGCTTTTAGAGCTAATGAACATTTCATACACTGCCAGGGTTATATTCTCATTTTGCACCGTGTTGTCAAGTGCTTTGATGAAGTTGAAATATTCAACCACGTTATCTAAGCTTGTTCCTTTCATCTCAATAGCTGAGTTTTGTAGAAAAATATTCCATACTCTTTCAACTGGTATTCCCCTTATTTTGACAATATTATAAACAATATTACCATTTTCAATAGTCAGTTCTTCTACAATGACTTTTGTGATATCCGATTTATGAGTTTTCAAATGTTAAGTAAAAAGTAAATTATTTTAGTATACACTTAAAATAGTACATTTTGCACCATGGATGCAAAGCACAACGTATAGTCCCCAAGGGTGGGATTGTAAAACCTTTGCTCCTAGAACACAAACTACGTTTTTTTTTGCTAAGGGCAAACAGTACCATTTTTTACTTGTGGGCTCACTTTAATCTCAAGGGCGAAAAGTACTTTGTGTGCCCGTGGTTGCAAAGACTGTGCATCTATAGTGAAAAACAACTTAACATTTCATGTCCACAGTAAAATACACGGTTATTTGATTTCAAAGTCAAAGATATGGTTAATGTAAGACTATACTTGAAAAACTTATATTCGAAAATTATGTACTATGTTATGTCAAGGCCACAGTGCAAGTGTTAGAACTACACCTACATATCCAACTACTACCAGACTATGTGCATTAGCGTTATTTACCAGATTAAAAAAAAAAAATCAATATGCCTTTCTGCTCCGGAACTTCTGATTATATATATATATATATTTTCTCACCTCAAGGTTGGCTTGTCGATACTGTCGGCTAGTGTAGTGCATAGAAAACTTTTCTTGGCAGGTCACATGACTGATTGTACTTTATGGGCTACTCTCCCGTTCCATTGCTTCCTCTTTCTGTACGATCTATGAGCCCACTTTTTTTATCTCTTTCACGTTACTATGTAATATATGTACGCAACGGCGATTTGTATGTATACCTAGTAGCACGGGTCTCGCAGAGAAGCATGAAATAGTACTGCGAAAAGTATACAAAAAAATCTAGCACCATTTGAGTCTTTTTATCATATACGTTGTACACATTTTATACGGAGATTTGTGTGTAGCTTTCTCTATCCTCCCTCATACAGTGATCTCATAGTCCTATTTTACAAAATAAAAGATTTTTTTTCGTTTTCGGTAGGCTGTACTGGCTGTATTTATATTGCATCATCAGACGCATACACATACCATTAGAGATAGAAAGACAGAAAATAATATTAAAAGACGAAAACAAGAAGACTATAGTAAATTTATGTCTACATCTACATGCGTAATGATGTATACGCATCAGAATCTATTTTTTACGTGAAACGAGCAACAACAAAGCCTGATTTGTATTCATTGAAGAACTAATACAGTATATAAACGTAAAGTGTGAGATAACAAATACATGAAGGTCGTTTCGTACACACGTAAACAAGCTAACTACGTATGAAAAGTAAATACTGTATTACTAGCCTACCGATTTCTTTCACAAACCAATAATCTCCTTTTTTTTCACTACAACTCTTTTTACACGTAATGAGCAGTCAGCAAGGTGTAAGGAACTTCGTACCACATAAATTATGTGCACGTACACTGAGAGAAAAATATAATAAAAATTACTGTGCTGGAATGTTAATCTGGTGTCATTCCTTCTAGGGACTTTTTGCTTTGAACCAACCTAATTTTTACCATTCTGGATAGTAATTTCTATCGTACAAGCAGTAAAAATCACTATATACTTACAACAAAAATAACAGTTCTAAACACTAAAAATTATTGTTCCATTAGTAAAAAGTCCCTAGACGACCGAACATTACGAGATTACCATTCTGGCACAGTAATTTTTATTAAATTTTTCTCTCAGTGTACGTCTAATGTGTATGAATGTCCCCGAGAATAAGCTACACATCCCTCGAGTGCAACTTGGCAAAACTTTTCGATTTATTATGTACAGAGTAGATACAGCATCGCTCTGTAGTTGCAGCGCGTGTGGCACGGAGTAAAAGTAAAATAGCTCTCACCAGGAGGAAGTTGCGGTCGGAAAAAAGTTATTCCAGGCGCTGCATTAACATTTGCAGGCGCGTGTTTGCGTCCCGGGCGCGGAAGGGCTTAATTCCTTCGAGGCCTCGAAGAAGTGCGGTGGAGGAAAGTTAAATGCCAAGGGATTAAGCCACGAGTTATGGCCCATTTCGCTTTTTTTCTCCGAAACCTCCCACCGGCCTTTTATTTAATTGTTTCTTCAAAAAACCATAACAGTTACAGTGTCACCAGTGTTAATTGTTCGTCGTGAATTTCAAATCACCTCGCAAACATTAATGTATAGCTTCTTTACCTGGAGATTCGCCGTTGTACGGTCTTTATCCCACTTAACTCCACTTTTGTAAAATGCTACTCAGTCCACAGGCTCGACTGACATTTTGGAAAATCAGTAGTTCAGAAATTTCCCAACAAAGTTCACATGAAACAAAAAAAAAAGCGACCAAGAGAGAGAAATTTTATCTTCCAGAGCAAAGGCTAACGACGGCGATAAATCAGGATTTATTAAAAGCTGTTATGAGCAGAGGCGTCAGGTGTGGCCAAAAAATTCCGAAATCAGCTCTATAGGACGACTCCTTCCGTCCAGAAAAATACGGACGGAGGAGAGCAGACGGAGAGAAAGAGAGATGATATTCTTTCCTGCTCCGCTAACATTTCGCTCGACGATATCCCAAGCGCCATCGTTCATGCGGCATCCTCCCATCGATTACTCTTCTCTCTGTCCTTTCTTATATATTTTTTTTTCTTCTGCATCGTCTACCCTGTTCAAATCTTATTTAGATTTACCTATATCCTGTTCTGGAAATTTAAATTTTATTAAATTTGAATAGTCGTCTGACTCTTTGTTTACAGATACACGCGATTAATATTTGTTCGTACATGAGCTTTTTATTAGTTTTTTATCGCAACACATCTAGCATCTGTTGTCACGAGATTGTATTTTCATACGCTATTTTATTACTAGATTTAGTGTTTGTATACGATAGAAAGGTTAATAAGGAGATTTTGCATTAACAGGCTTGGTAGATTAAGATAATACAAATGGTCATCAATGCCATTTGGTACGTGACATTGGTGGTGGAACTCGTCCTTCTTTACAACTTAATTTCTTTTTTCTCATGTTGTTTCAGGAACCCATAAATACATTTTTAACTGAAGTTTCCAGTTGCTGTGCTCATTAGTTTCGTTTTTTGGTTCAGTTTGTTTCTTATCTTAAGACCATTTTGACATCTATTACGTAATAAACAAGTTAATGACACTACTTTGTCATAGATGCACAATAGAGTATTGGCATTGAAAATAAAGAAAGAATCTTATAGGTAGAGTAATTTTAATAAAAGTAGCATGAACAAGGAAAATATTATTAACTCGTATTTTATTGTGGCATTCAAATCTTATTAACAGAAAATAGCTTGTATTGTTTTAACAAAATGTTTTTGTATCTTTAATCATATTTTTTCGTATTTAATGACAGGATAATCTCAATTCGAATATCATAAGTCTAATATAATTTTGATGATTAAAGAAACTTTACGTTATAAATAGATATCGTCTTATGGACTGCAAATCACAATTTGCACATTTGAGTGTAAGGAGATTTCAAAGATCTTTAAAAAATAGTCGTGCTTCGAATCTTCTGGGATGAAATAGCCAGCACGTAATGCTTAGCAAAGACGCAACAATGATGAAGTTCCATCTCCTGTACTTAAAAAAGAGATGTTGTTTTAATTTTTCATAGTACGATACAAATGCATCTATTTATGACGTTTTCAACTAAAATGACTTTAGTTGATTAATCCTCAATAACAATCTTGCGTTATTGTACTTAAAATATCCTTATGTTGAACATTCCTCACATCAGACTCTTTCATTTGTACGAGTGTTGGTGCAACAGCAATTAAATGCTACGAATGTACAAGGCAAAGGTCGTAAAGGTACTTCAGAGGAAAGGAAACTCTTACCAGAAAGTAAAGAGAAAAGAAGCCCAAGAAGCTTTAGAAAATTAGAGGGGAAAAAGAGCGAGGGAAAAAGCTCCTTCGTTGCGGACATTTTTACGAGTCACGCGCGCCGAGCAAACGATTGCGGAACATCTCTGTGCCATGCACTGCTGCTGATGGGAAGCAGAAAATGAGACGCGCCTCTTTTGTCCTCGACTCTGGCTGCTGGTTTGCACGGCCCTTATCCGCGAGT